TTGCAAGCATATACTCACCATCTTTTTACATCATATATCCCTTGAAACAATCAAACGTATTATTCAAGCAAATGAGTACGAAGCAATATGTGATTTAGACTCAAAAGGCTAAAAATCTACTCAAGTTCATAAAGTGAAGCTACTTGATTCATAAGGTAATTCTATTCAAATTTAGGAAGTAAACATATTCTAGTTTAAAAGTAAAATATATTCGAATTTAGAAATAAGCATTTCCAGATTTAGATTTAGAAATAGATATGTATCCAGATTTTGAGAGTAAAATCTGTTTGGTTTCAAAAATAGACATGTCCAGATTCTGAGAGTAAAATATGTTCGGTTTCAAAAATAGACACGTCCAGATTCTGACAGTAAAATCTGTTTGGTTTCAATAATAAATACGTCCAAATTCTGATAGTAAAATCTGTTCGGTTTCAAAAGTAGACAGGTCCAGATACTAAGAGTAAAATCTATTCGGTTTCATAAATAGACACGTCCAGATTCTGAGAGTAAAATCTGTTTGGTTTCAAAAAGAGATGCGTCTAGATGCAGACAGTAAAATTTATTCGGTTTCAAAAATAGACACGTCCCGATTTTGATAGTAAAATCTGTTTGGTTTCTAAAATAAACATGTCTGGATTTTAACAGTAAAATCTGTTTGGCTTTTAAAAATAAACATATCCAGATCTTGGGGGTAAAAGCAATTTGGTTCAGAAAATACATATGTCCAGATTTAACGAGTAAAGTCTACTCGAGTTCAGAAATCAATAGATTTTACGAATGACGTTTAAATCTGAACTTACAAATATAACTTTTCCAAGTTTAGATTCATCATTTCCACTCACCATATGTACCCCCATTTAAGTAAGATGATCAAGTACATTTTAAACATGCATGAAACTAGCAAAATGAATTCAACCATCACCTCAAATATGACATTTTCAAGTTCAAATTTAACAATTTCATTTGCCAATAATACCACACTTTAAGAAAACAGTTCACACACATTTTGAACATAAACAAGGCCAGCAAAACAAAACCAAAAATCACCAAATCTACCATATTATAGCACATAAGATAGCATATCACAACCATCCAAGTAAAAAGTAATAAGTAGATTCATTTAACTTAACTCTAGAGTCTTCACTTACTTTGCGCAAAATCTGAACATACAGTTAAAAATTTATTGTAGATTTTGGATCAGGTGTTGGTGAAAGTAGAAGGTGAAGAAAGAAATTACGGCCAAGATGAAAATTCTCCTTGATGTTACCCAGATGAAAGTGAAATGCAGGAGTAGATTTTAGGTGGACAATTGCATGCACTCATAGGTGGCACTTCCACTCTCAATCTACTGCCAAGTGTAAGAAAATTAAGACTTATTAGGTATGAGTAATAGCCAAGGTAATGATGGCTTATGGCTATATGTCAAGTTAATGTAAGAAGCTTAGTTTAAGAAGGGCATGTGGCATGCTTGAATTCTCCAAATGGGGCATGTGGCCAAGCTTTAGTCCTTCATAGGCCACGTGAGTTATTTGGTGTCTTGAGGGAGTTTTGTGAGAATTAAGTAGAGATCAAAATATCTTCTCCCTTTAACACCAATTAGCAATTAATTAATGGTTATCACAAATTAACTAAAGTTTAACTAATAATATTACCCATTAACTACTAAGACGACAGTAAATTAATTAATACCGTTACACTATTAATGCACACATTAACGTTTATAAATTTTAAACACGTCGAACTCGGAATGATTATGTTCTCGAATTCGCGCCTCACAAATTTACAGTCCAACAATGATTTCTACATGTCCATACGAATACTAAGCTAAATAATACTTAGTTTATAATCTAAGTATCATTATCGAACACGGAAAATTTCTAATGTCACGTACATATTATTACGAAATTTCCGGATGTCACAAGTGGTCCTATGGTAGGATCTCCATTAAGATATCTCTGGTAGAGACTATCTTTAGACCTCTTCTTTCTCCTAGATGGTCCGTCATCCTCTTTGTCATCTAAAGGATTTGTACATAGGAAGCATTGACAATCAACATCCTAAAAATAGTTTCCTGTTCGAGGATCCTGATAAAAATGAATGGGTTGTTCCTCTTGATCAAAAGACTATCTTTTGGATCTGAATCGCCTTTTTTAGTAGGAACATAAGCATGATAGGATTGTATCATAAAAATAGTAGGGAAAATAGAATAAGAAGTTTGTTCCTTTTCTTCACTAAATTTAATAACAACTGTACCATCTTTCTTCTCGGTAAACTAAGACTCCATGGACTGAATAGGCCTAGAATTCTGATGAAGCTTTTTATAGTTAGTTACCCAAGTATCAGGGAGTAACTTAACTAGTTGATCTCGAGGAATTTTCTCGAGTACATGAACACAAGAAGTTTAATCATTGTCCACTGAGATGAATAGAGCATCCTCAGTACCAGGGAATTGAGATCAATGGCATGATTCTGGACCCGATATACCATTTGGTAGTGTAAGTAGCAGCTATATAATCTGGAGTCTGGAGAGTCCAAGTGAGCTGTAGCTGGACTCTAAGAGCAGAGAGAAGTCGAAGGTCTATAAGGGCCATATTGAAAGTTGGAAACAGCTCCTACATTGAGAGTTGTTTGGATAATACCAATACAAGCATGTTGTTAATCCAAAAAATGAGTATCCAAAAGGGCCATTCTAGCAACAACAGGTAATCTTTTCCTATCGTGAAAGGATAAAGCAAGACGCAGAGTAGCAAAGTGGATGTGCGTATATCCCTGCTATACCCATAAACGAGGAAAATCAGAAGGTATCTAAAGAGTAATAAATTGCTCTTGTTGAGTAGCAGGAATAGGATGATGATCGAATCGAGATGACTCAACAGACTCCTTAACTTCTCGAGGTGTGTGTTTCATAAGCTGTTTGATGGAGCAAAGAGGAGACAAAGAAGACAGTTTAGCAAAAGCAGATTATGGATGGATAAGTGAAAGATGAGTTTCTAATATCTTGCTATCTTCATCAAGGTATGAAACCTCATAAAGATAGTCAATTTTAGAAACATTTGACGTACGGAGATCTACTGGGGCATTAACTGTAATTGGTGAACTGGAATCAGTAGAATCACTTATGATGGAAAGAGTCTACCTTTTCTACCAGGTAATTCATCTAAAAACAAATCTCAACTGGTCAAGCTAAAGTCGAACATTCTTTCATGTCTTTCAAATGAAAGTTATGACTAATTGGTAAAATTAAATAGTTTAAGACTAAATTGATATCTATATAATATGTTTATGGTTGATTAGGTCATTTCCCTCTCAAAAACTTTGCACATGAAGAATATATGTTCTTCTTAAGACACGAGATATGCACGTAAATCGTCCTATCCACGTTCCTTGGGTAAGGCAGGTTTCACTCATAGAATGACCGCAACGATATTGTGATTAGACCTGTCAAAATGGATCATAAACTTATTTCTTAACTCATATATTATGGGCTGGGTTGCTATATAGGTTAGTTATATTCAATAATTAGTCATAAATGGGTTTAAATATAATATGAATGTTAAATGAGTTATAAATGGGTAGTAAATGAGTTATAAATGGGTTTACAACTTAGTTGGATCCAATCCACCTACCACCTTCTACCTACTCTCTCTTCATTCTCTCTTGCCCTCACTTAATATTGCGCTTACTCGTTCCGCATTTTCACTTTAGTTTGGGTATGAATTTTCCTAGATTGGATTAAATATAAAATTATTTTAGGAATATAGGTCGGATCGGGCTGAGTATGGGTCACTAGATTTGCTTTATAATAAATGGGTCATAAATGGGTTAATGGATCTATTTGAGCCAGACCATTTATGACCCGATTCAAACCCGACCCGACCCACCCGTTTGATTGGTCTAATTGTGATTGAATAATTTTGATGTTAGTTTGAGGGACTTCTTTTTTGCCAAAAATTTGATAGTAATTTTGGGGATTTCGTGACCATCACTTTATCAGTCTTATGAAAAAATTTAGTCAAGTGGGGTGACCATTTTATCAGTTGCAACGAATGACACCTTGATGCAAATAATTAACGAGGTAAAGCAAGCAGGTAAGAGGTGGGACGCTCACGGTGGCAAGTGATAAATCAAACCAGTTTGATGCAAATCCTTTTCTTCTTGGGTGCCTTCGTATGCCTAAATGCAACATCTATAACTTAAAATCCCTCGAACTTCATTCAATTTAGAAGAGTAATATACAGATTTGGGAGTTATGTTTATTCATTCTAAAGTGTAAACATGTAGCTCTACCAGGTTAACTGTTGATGAAATCGATGCCTTGTCCGCCCGAGTCTGGAGGAGAGAGTGCAGATTTGGCTCTCTCCAGCTCAAATTTTTCCTCTTGGTCTGTTGAACTGCCCAATTAGAATCTACGTAGGCCTCTCATTGACGCCTCCTAATAGGTGTGTGCTCTTTTCTACCGTATGTCTCCGAAGAACTTCACTCGGCAGATTTCTACTAAATGCCCTATAATATATAGGAGGAGGATGCGAATGGTTGAATGTCCGTTTCTACAATCAGCTGACCTTTCAGAAGATGCAAAGCACCGGACAAGAAAAAATCTTGCAGGGAAAGCATTCAGGTCCTCATAGGATTTAACTATTGCCAGCAAAAGAATCCAGAATCTTCATTTATGGAGGTACAAGATTGGATTTCTACATCAAGTGACTAGCTCAACAAAGTATGAATTGTCTGCACATTTCATATTATCAAATTAGTCTAACCCCACAGAGCCGCCTAACATGCTGACATTGTCCCATCTAGCTAATTCGAACCACTTCGATCAGCTGGCAGTTTCTGACCAAAAAAGATCAGCAGGCAGTTACAATAATCTTCTCTACTCTGCATCTGGTACTAGTACGGCCATACATATCATGAATGCTAGGCTAATATGAGCGCAATTTTCTAATGCTAATAAAACGAGTTAATTCCTTGTTGGGAAAGAAAGGGCACAACAGCAAACAGAAGGAGAAACGTGCGCCACCACTGCTAAATTGCCTTGCAACAAGAACTAAGTCTGGCCCTAAATCTTCATGTTGAAAGACACAAAAGAATGTCTGGCACTGTGCTTCAAGCACAATTATCAGGCACTACCATAATTACATAATTACATGTCCGACGTTGGAAGTGCAAAGTGAGAGGTTATACAATGTCCTTTTCTTATTTATAATTTATGATAGCTTGTTAATGTCGCCAAACCCAAAATCTTCATGTTTGAAAGACATGGAAAAATGTCCAGTTTCGTGCTTCAAGCACAATTATATTAGGCACTACCATACGGTGGGAACCTAAGGCGTTCACGGACATAAGCAAAGTTCTTGCAGCAACATGTCGAATTCTCCTTCAATCTGCATCCCGAAAAGAAGGTCCATATGTAGCCGTTATTGTGCACATACGTAGAACTGACTCAAAATGTAACCCGTATTTTGAACAAATAAATTACCACTTTTTGTATTTTCAAGGACTTATCCAGTTTAGCAACCTCACTAGCAATTGCGGATAACATAGACTTCTCCTTCTTTCCTGTTATGAGCAAGTAATAAACTTAGTATGACAGCAATAAAATATTAGGCGAGTTTGATTCAGTTCTAAGGGGTCGAAAATAATAGAAGAGAATCTGAACTCACTTATTTGTTCATATTGAATGAAGAGCCTTTCCTTCTCCTCCTCAAATTTGGAAATAATATCTGTGGAGGCAGACGAATGACGGTCTGATGGGGAAAGGACATGGCCAACATCACCAAATATGTGATCAGACTAGCCAAGAACATTCTATTGGGAAAAACTCGAAGAAAACTCAATCATGGTGCATAAGTTATATTTCTTTAAGATGGAGGTGCGTATGTTACAAGCTGATTTATTAGGGAAAAGTACAGTTTTTCAAGAATTTTCTCAAATTGTAGAACCTCATCTCTATCTACATTGTCATTGTACTATTGTTACCTCTATCTACAATTTCATTGTATCATTAGAAAACCCAATGTACATGGTTTTTGCCTATAAACGACTTGCAACCAATAAAGTTACCATTTAAAGCCTGCAAATGGGCTTGCTGATGAGAAGCTTTATCCTCGCAACACTTCTCATTAAGTTCATGGAACTTGGCGGCTGCATTCCCGCTATTTTCACACTGCACATCATCATCACATCAAGTGAAATTCTCTCCAAGCAAAAACCATGTCACCAAGGTAGACCTTGTTCAATAGAATGAAAACATTATAGTTTTCCTCACTTACTTCTCCAAAACTCTGTTGAAGTAACGTCACAAGAGATTGACTACATAAAGAACGTATTCATTAGATATAAACATTGTACTGAAACAAAGTTAATAATTGCATGTATCTATTTGAATTTACCTATTCTTCTCATGTTCCGACTTCAAATCATCAACCATTGACTCGATCTGAGACATCAAACTATCCGGCCAAGGACAAATAACAAGAAAGTAATGAATAAGAAAATGATCACGATAAAATGACCATGGGAAACCTCAAGACAAAAGAGTTCAATATAACAATGCAAATAGTGCCTTTGTCATTGAAATAGAACATGGATCGGCTTAATTAATTAAACAACTTTATACGAATTGAACAAATATAATAAGCCATGATTAAGCTAATATCAGCGTATAAGAAAGCAGGTGAAGCCAATCAAACCTCAATCCAAACGTCTCTTTTGTCAAATGAAAGGTATAAAGAAGAAAATCAGCGATCATGCTCTCACATGATATCTAAATCCTAGAAGAAAATGAAGCAAAGGATTCAGTATTCCACCAACATTAATGTTATCAGCATGCTTATTATTGAGTAATCAACTAGTGGAATCTGATTCAGCCTGCAAAGGGAAAGATAGGAACAAGCGTTCCAAACATCAATAGATAAAATATCAAGAGTACGGTCAATTCAGCGCAACACAAGCTCGATGTCTATTGAAAGGTAAATCGATTCAACACTTGAGCCCTTAAGCTTTATCAGAGCAAAATTTCACGCACTCGCCGACTAACATAATGAATCAACATTCATTCAACTTAACCAGTCACTTCAGATCGACAATACTAATAAACTTTGATCCGCTAGTAAATTAAAATCAACTAGACATTGGTAAATCCCAACGTAGTTACTTAACTCGACAAGTTCTGTAGAAGTTCCATATCGACAATACCAGTAAATTTTGAAAGGCACGGCTTAAATTCAAATCTGAACTGGTGAGGCTAATTTCATTGATGAAAGCTGCCCAGGGACAAGCAACTCTAACCTAGTAGTTTCATAGACTACATGAGCCAATAGCCAGCAAATATTTGAGGGAGAGAAAGATTTTCTCTCAGGATTTGGGTGGGATTTCCAAAGTACCCATGTCATTGCTCCAACAACTTTTTGGGCGAAAGGTAGAATGTGCAGTGCAGTGCAGTGCAGTGCAGCGCAGCACAGGTATAAGAAACAGTGTGAACGGGCTACAGAATTGGGACTGTCACAAATCGCAACCCATAGACTCAACCTATCGGACGAATATCAGGAAAAGATAAAGGCAAAACAAGTCGAATCACCTCGATATAGTCTCTTCGTTCTTCTTATTGAACTTCCGATTTTCCTCTAACATGGACTTTAACCGGCTGATATTACTGCACAGTTCAAATTTTCACATCAGATTTCTCAAATCAAGAGTGCGAAACAGAAATTACTTCAGAACTTACGCATCAAACCATTCATCATCGATCGACTCGGAGACATCAGAATCTAGTCCGCTTGTCTTTCTCTTCATTTTTTTTGGGAGAGAGGAGAGCTTGTGTGAATCGCAGAGCTTTTGGGGAAGAAGAAGAAGGGCTCCTTGGCTGGCTATGTTTCGAGGGTTTCCGATGGCTGAGAGCGGGCAACTTTTTCTCTCTTTTCCGAATTTAAAATAGGGCAGCGCTATTTCCGATTAAATTCATCCAACCGCAAAAGGACAAAATTATCCCCGGTAATTCAATTGCAATTTACTTTCCTCTTTTTAGCTTTTTTTCATTTTTATGCAGGATTTAGTTGCATAATTGAAAATTTTAGTTGTCTTGTTTTCGTTTATTGTGGGTGCCCATTTTTCTTTGACGTTAATACCACAAAAAACCCAAAACTGGTACACTTGTGATAAATTTATCCCAAACTAACTTTTGGACCACCAAAAATCCCAAACCGGTACACCTATAACAAATTTATTATTTGTTAGTTTTCGTTAAATTTTACCGTCAAATTTCTGAATTTGATAACATTGTACCCGTTTGGAGCTTTACTCTCCGTTTATCATAGGCATACCAGTTTGTGATTTTTCATGATATTAATCCAATTTAACGGATGATAAATTTATCACAAATGTACCAGTTTAAGGTTTTTAGTGGTCAAAAAATTTGTTTGGGAAAAATTTATCACATGTATACCAGTTTGGGATTTTTTGTGGTCAAAAAATTAATTTATGATAAATTGATCATATATGGACCAATTTGGGATTTTTCATGACATTAACAAAAAAAAGATGGAAAATAGATAAGTTGTTATAAGAGCAATGATGAAGATGTGACTAGTAAGTGTGTGTTTTTTAACTTCATTAGTCAAAACTATATAGAGTTAATACCACGAAAAACTCAAAACTGGTACACTTGTGACAATTTTATCTCAAACTAATTTTTGACAATCAAAAATCCTAAACTAGTACTCATGTGAAAAATTTACCCTAAACTAATTTTTTGACCAAGAAAAACCTTAAACTGGTACATTTGTGACAAATTTATCCTTTGTTAATTTGGATTAATACCACGAAAAATTACAAAAATGGTGCACCTGTGACAAATGGAGGGTACCCAAAATCAATACACTCGTCAATTGCCACGTGTCATCCAACTCAGAAATTTTACAATAAAATTTAACGGAAACTAAAAGATAAAAAAATTATCACAAGTGTACTAGTTTGGAATTTTTCTTGATAAAAAATTACTTTAGAGTAAATTTGTCACATGTGTACCAGTTTGGGGTTTTTCGTGGTATTAACCCAAATATATATTAAATCTCTTTATTTACTCTATAAAGAAACTATTGCGAAATACGTCTATACATTTTAAAGTTATTTAAGAAATTACTACAGACATCGACATGAAAAAAATTATGCGCAACGAGGCATCTTTATATTTTTTGGTAAATACAACATGGATGATACTAATTTTTGTCAATACAAAATGGAAGGTTTATATCAGTTCATTGTCTGTCGTTATGCCAGTAACAAAACAAGTGGGGTTGTTTGAAACCCGCCTTCCTTCCAAAGGAATTATGATAACAATAATACATGCTTGATCAAGAAAATTGAAGTGTTGCAAACTGGGTGAAGAGAGAGAGAGAGAAAATTGTTATGTTTGCCAATCAATAAGGATTATTTTTCTTTTAATTTTTCCCCAGATTCAATTTGGGGTATCCTTCCTGGCCCGCACCCCCTAGTGTGACAGTTGCTTGTTAAAGGGACATTTTGAAACAAAGTCCGCTATAGGGGGAAACTTTGAGAAAGTGGCACCACTTTGGCAAGATTTTTGAAATTTTCCTCTACTCTTTGGATATTACTAGAGATATGGCTACTGGGAAGTTCTCGTTATTATGGTTCAATCCTGCTAGAGTCTCATTTCTTTGCGTTGTCTTTATATGTGGCATTGACGAGGGTTGCATAACTAGTGTCTAAGTATAAACCCCTCCGAGTATAGCTACGGAAATGCAATTGTCCAGCTTACGGTAGCTTATTCTTTGAATTTTGTCCTATAGTATGGTCATGATGTCATGGAAAGAGTTAAACTACCGGAAGTGCTTGATCAGCTCAGTATCATACAAAGTCAGTCATAGTATTGTTCAATGCTTGAGAGAAGTAGTCTCTGCTATGTTCTATGAAAACCATCCTAAAATGGAAGTGTGGCGATTGCATTGTGAGGTACATTGAAGGAAAAACAGTAGTCAATAGAAATTGGTATGGAGAAAATTGTGGTCAAAATTGCAAGGCCCTCTGTGACATAGGTGACTTTTGCGCTATGATGCCAGTGAATCTGTGCTGATAAGTGATAACTGCGTAAACCCCTCAATTCTTTCGCATGTGATAAATAACTTCATTGTTAGAGCTTTCCAAACATCTTCTATGTGTTTTTTTCGCAAAGGTTGATTTTTGACTGTCCTACTGTCCATAATTTCATGTGACTTCAAGTTGAGTATCACAAACAAGACGATTGATGAGAATTTGCAGCACATAATTTGGGTGATGCCTACTTGTGTGTCATGTGCATGGGTCAAAAAGTTTTTTTACAAGTAGCTTGTCGAATGGCAGCCACTAAGCACATGATCAGGCGGTAGGGGTGCAGGCGAGGAAGGAGACCCGAAATGGAATTTCGGGAAAAATAAAATATAAAACTTACCGATTCCCAAACATATCAATTTTTTCCCTATCTCTCTCTTCACCCAGTTTGCAACACTGGATCAGGTTCAAAGAAAAATAAGAAAATTCTGTCAAAGTTCCCTTCGAGTAATTAGCCATCTTTGTGCTAATTTAACTTTCCAATCATGAATATATGCGTATGGTTTATTTTAACCAAGTTACTTGTCAAATTGTTAATTATTAAGGTAGGCAACCTACCAAAACTAGGGAAAATGACACAAACAGTCCATGAACTTTGGCCCAATGTGCAATTTGATTCCTGAACTTTTAATTTGTTCAATGTAGTCCCTGAACTTTAACCTAATGTTCAATGTGGTCCTTAAACTTTTAATTTGTTCAATGTAGTCCCTGAACTTTAACCTAATGTTTAATGTGGTCCTTAAACTTTTAATTTGTTTAATGTGATCCATGGACTTTTGGTACATGTTCAATTTAGTACCTAAATTATATGAAAATGTTCAATGTAATCCCTAGACTTGAATTAATGGAATGACTACATTAAACATTTTCATGTAGTTCATGGACTAAATTGAACATGTACCAAAAGCCCAAGGACCACATTGAATAAATTAAAAGTTCATGGACCACATTGAACATTAGGTTAAAGTTTAGAGACTACATTCAATAAATTAAAAGTTCATCGATCAAATTACATATTATGTCAAAGTTCAAGGACTATTTGTGTCATTATCCCCCAAAACTATAAAGACATCACTCATGCGATAGTTTCAGGTAGTGTACAATATGCAAATATGAAGGACGACTGTAAGTTTCGGGGTCTTGGGTCATCTTTTTCTTTCTCTTTTGAGTTAAAAAATCCTGTCATTGATTGCGTAATTCATTCGAATCATCGTCTTTTGTATTTGTGAACTTTGTGTAATCTTGCACGTGCTTCATTTCGGAAGTTTTGAGCTTTTGACTGTCAATCTGTATGTGCTGGAATGCTTCGAGTTGCGGTTGTTTAGTTTGGTTTATGCTCAGTCATAGGACTCGTACATTCTCGTTGTTTCGATTTGTGTTGTTTAGGAGATTCGTTTGCTATTTAATTATACTGTTTCGGTCACTCACTTTTCATACTTTTGTTAGGAAAAGTAATTTACAAATAAAAAGCGGGAGGAAGTGTGCCCCCTAATAAAAAATAAGCAAAGAAAGAGTCAAGCTCAAGCGCAATTTTGAGTTTTGCAAAGATTGAGTCAGGTCAATTTAAGATTGCTAAAAATATTTTCGTGTCGAGTTTAGGCACGGAAAATGATATTTGAACTTGAGTTGAAATTTGAGTATTGAGTTTGGGAGTCGAGTCGAGTTCAATCTTTCTACTTGTATGCTTAACTCGATTGCATGCCTATTTTCTTCTAGGCAACCGTACTTTGCTCTCTTTACTCTTTGTTTGTGTGTGTATGCTTGTTCGATTTGAGTATTTAAATTGAGTCAAGTTCGATTATCTGATTCTGTCCACTCAACTCATCTGGATTTCAACTTTATTTCAAGGACTCCATCGTGATCTGCCAATAGAAGGGCATATCTGACCTTGCAGGTTTCCAACAACTAGGTGAGGTGCTAAGAAGTTAATACTGAAGAACCTCGTACAGTAAATTTCAAAGCCAAACGAGTAACTGAATAATCGGGTTGGTGAACCAATTATCAGTCAGAGATGCAGCACGATGAGGTTATCTGGAAGTCATTCGGCACAACCATTGTAGTTATATGGCCAAGTGAGTCTATTAACCCGAAATGATCTCACCTTATCTTGTTACTTCTCCTTGCTAATTTGGGCAAGAATTGCCTTATTTTTTTGCTTCTAATTTGATCTCGCAGGATTACCACTGGAATATTTTGTCGAAATGAATACAACGTAACAGGGATTTGTAATAGGAGCTCCTGCCCTCTAGCTAATAGCCGCTATGCTACTATCCGTGACCATGATGGTAGTGTGATTTAAATGTTCTCATGACAGGGCTTCTTTTTCGTTCTGCCATGTCTTTCAAAATCCTTAATAGTATGTGATATCAACAAACTGATTTGACATGAGATTTCCAGTTCCAAAGTTATTTTGACAGCTTCGGGACAGCAATTGATTGCATTCTGTTTTGATTTTAAACTAATCTCCAAGTAAATGTTTCTGGTATTGGCAATTTAGCTTTGCAGTGTAACATGTTGTTTTTCTTTGTTCTGGCATTTCGCTAATTGCTTCGGATTCTCTGTTGTCAGATGTATTGGCCGAAATTTCTTGTTCATAAGACCAAGCAAAGGTTGACCAAAATGACTCAAATGCGCATCCGAATGAGGAAGCTTGCTCTGAAAACTAGGTTCAAACCCCTTCATGAATTTGGCTGCTCTATCATAGAATGTGTTTTCATGATAAACTACATTTCTTAATCTTCTGTTTTGCAAATCGATGGCACTTCTTAATTTAATCAGTAATATGGCGATTATAGATGTGTGTCATCTAGAATTTGTCATTGCTCGACTTTTAACTCTACATGTTGTTGCCTCAGATGCGAATGAAAGAGAACTATTTGTTCAAGTGAATGTTTTTGTGTCAGATTTGGGAAAATGAATCTCTTGTCAAACAATTTTGTCTTTAGCAGCAAATATTACTAGGTTTATCTACAGTTCTTTTCTTTTTTTTATCTACATTTCTTAACAAGAGATTTATCTACACTTCTCTTAGTAAGGTTTCTCTACAGCTCTCTTATGTCGATTTCAGCACTATATTTATTTTCCCCGAAGTTTCTATGTTGTACATATCTTATGTGTTGCCTTATGCTTATTATATCATGATTGTAAAATCGCAATTCACAAGTTCATTGCATTTGCATTTGTGAAACCTCCTTGTTCAAGAACACGCAGTGGACATTGCTATTACTGATGTCTGGACTGGCCCTTCGGGGCATCTCCTCTGTTTCAGCTTTATACTTCAACGTGCCTTTCTTTCCTAATAAGGAAAAGATTATGACGACACCGAGGAAAGAAAAGAAGAGAGAGGCTAGAACGGAGGAAAAGGCAGAAAAGGCGGCAGTTTTGGAAAAGGTTGGTGGGGTTCACCTTTATACCCATGGAAGTGCTTCATCCATTATTTCACCCAAGATTTTTACTTATTCTTGGCTCTACTGCAGAGAATTGAGAAAGAGCTATTAGAACGCCTAAGGAAAGGAGTGTATGGTGATATCTACAATTACCCCGTCAAAGAGTACAAGAAAATCCTTGAGATGGATTCGATGCAGGCTGCCGATGAAGATGAAGAGGAGGCATACTATATGAACACATGTTACTTTTGTTGTTTGAGAAGGCACATATGGCTCTGCTAGAACAGTATTTCTGTATGAAATAGGTAGAAGTTTTGCTTCTTGCTAGAGTTCATTGTTTGATGATTATGCAATCGTTATTCTGGAATGAGCAGGAACCTGAGATAGAGTATGTGGAAGGTTACGATGAACTAGATGAAGAACTAGAAGATGATATTGAAGATTTTGGCGGTCTTGCAATGAATAGAGTTCGTGCAATTGGTGACAGTGGCGAAGGTTCTTTCTATACCTAGATACATTTTTTATCAAGAGCTGTTGTCTTTTTTTCCCGTTCTTTATGGTTTCTTGCTGAATTGACATTTTTCTTTTCTTCATTCCCTTTAAAAATCATGTGAGATGAGAAGTTCCGAGAGGACTTATGTGCTTCCTGGATCCAAGTAGTGGAGCTAATTATTTTTGGTTCAGATGAAGACGGCGACGGTGATGAAGATGACGATGCAGAAACTGATCGGAAGAGGGGAAGAAAGGAATCCTCCTTGGCTTTAAGTAAAGTTGAGAAAGGTGATACTGGTTGTAAGCCCAAGAAAAGAGCTAAGGTTCTCGTTGAGGTGAGCGCATCATTTTAAATTTTCAGATCTGCAGTCAGTATAAACTTTGTTAATGATAAGCATGTGTTCTGTATTAGTAGTGACAAATTTAAGTTAAGCTTTGCCAAGGAATGAGAATTTTCTGTAAGTAGCGACAAATTTATAGTTCAGCTTTTTTTCTTTACATGGTAATCACTTCGTCCAGCAGTGCTAGGTAGTCTTTAATACTAGAGTGGTATCGTGCCATGACCAACCTGCATCCTTTTCCAATATTTTCTCATCAAAGTCCCATACATCATAAATATTGGTTGAGTCTTCGTTTTTTTCTTTGGGTTATTCCCTTCTTTAGCAGCAATGAAAGCTTTTTAGATTAAGATTCCAATAATTTTGATGACATCCTCTTTCCTGAGGAGAGAAGTAGCAAAGGCAATTCAACCCACTCCTTGGAGACTGTCTTGATAGGATCATGCCATATAAATGTGACCAGATGGGCAACTTTTTCTATGCTGATGTCAAGCGAAGGATGCAAGGGATGGTGCTTACTCCTGTTTTGTGCAAACTTTGCTTTGATAGTTTATGGTTGAGTACCAGAATTTCTGTTCATGTTAACTTTGATTAGGCTATCCAGAGGTGCATGGTTTGACGTTTTACGCTGGGGTCTCCTTCGATCTCACCTAGTTTGCTGGGATGGCACAATTCACACATCTTAGAATGTGTTCCCATTGCACGAACCTGTGCAGGTGTGCTTCTCCATTTGGGAGTTTTGAGGGGGAAGAGAACAAAAAAGAGAGAAAGGGTGGAGGGCAAATTCTATTTATGTTTTTCTTTGGCCATCGATATATGGTTAATTTACTTGGATGGGAAATTGTTTTCTTTAGTTCATCATGGAAATGGCTTGTTCCTTTCATCGGTTGTTACTAAATCAGTGCCGTGTTAGTCCAGGATTATTAACCCCGTTGTAAGCAGTAAATGCCGATGGGGCATTCAATTAGTCTTTCCTACTTTTCTTTGAGATTTCTGTCTGACCTGTCAAAATGAATATTTTTTCGAACAACAACAACGATGACGACGACGACAACAACAACAATAATAAAAGCTGAGTGTCATTTCTGCGCTTGTGCTTTATATTATCTTCTGTATGATTTATACAAGGATCTCATCCCAATATCAGTGTCTGAAATCAATTCGTTTGATTGGCAGATTGAGCATGAGAATGCTGATGAAAGACAAACTGCAGTTCACTGAGGTGAGGCCTTGCTCTGATCCGTTTTGCTTTGTTTGGCCGGGTAAGCTAGATGGGGGCGGCTGTCTCGGCTTTGGAAGTGTGTATCATGCTTTTCACGGTAGCACAGAAAACGTCACCACAAAGTTTTGACAGAAATTAACCGCAGTTCTGGTTAATATTGTATCTATCTTCTGCTTTTTCCCGACACTCCCGTTGTCTTTGTAAGAAAGGTTGTAATCGGTTGTGAGCAGAGAACCAGCATCCAATGGATGCATGTTGCAGCAATAGTTTCCTACTGACCTATGTTTTTGCCCTTGGCTTCAATAGATGGGTTGAGAACTATGTTGTTACATTATGTGAAATGACTTATTTAATCTATTATTTACGTTGAAATAGTTGGAAGTTTATCAACCTATATAAATTTGAATATGGAATGATATATTTGTCTTCATATTTTGTTTTAAACATCGAAACATATATGCATATCTCCATTTTTACATCCGAGAGGAAAAGATGTGATATAAACTTAGGTTGGTGCGTTCGTTTCACAAAAAATGAAAGTTATTGTTTATGTTGTTTAGAAGAATTAGTCAACGGAAAATATTTTAATCATCGATACAATTTATGTCTAATTATTTTCGAGGGCAATGAAAAAATTTTCCATTCATTTATTTTTGTAAGCGATTATTTTTTGTAAAATATTTTTTAAATCACTTATTTTTTTGCGAAATGAACACACCCGGTAGAAAATCTTTAGCCCATCTTGAAAGGAGCGTGCCTAGGCCAAATTTGAGCCTTTGGGATACTCTCGTTCACTTTCACGAGAAAGTACGAAAAGCGACATAACGCGACACGTATATGCCACATGATATGTAAACAGAGTCCCTATCTAATCAACTATATTTTTGGTTTTTGGCTTTGGATAATAATAAATTCGAGGGCGTTAGAAATAATAAAAATGATAGATATTTGATTAATTTGGGCAATTCCATGCCAGCTTTGTCATCCTATGGTTAGTTCAGAAAAAAGGGGGATAAAAGCTTCAACAGTCTGAAAATGGATCTAAATAACGGGAAAAGTATCAAAAAAATCATAAACTTTTTGCATTGGTACAAATTCAGTCATAAATTTTTTAATTAGACCAATTTAGTCATAAATTAATACAAATTCAGTCCACCCGATCAATTTAGGCCGGAAATCACTGACGTGAATGCCAACCATCCGACGTGGCATGACTGGTACTGACATGGACATTTTTTAATAAAAAAAAATTTGAATTTTTTTCCTTTCTTATTTTTGCTTTCCCTTTTCTTTTTGACGGTGGCCATAGCCACATGCCATGGTCGACAAGGGGGGTTGGCCTCGCTGGGCCGCCCCTAGGTGAGGGCGAGTGCCGACGAGGCCCCCTCGCTAGATCTGGCGAGAGGCCGATCCTTGCCCAGGCCAGGGCGGACTCGTCGCGCCTCGCCCTGGCTCGGGCGATGGTCTGCCTCGTGTTATAGGAGGCAAGATTTCTTTAGCCATAAACCTGAACAATGATAGATCGTGGATTCATATAACTAGTGTCACCTGAATTTTTTGTCGTCGACAAATCAAAATGCATTATTTGTAAAAATAAAAATAAAAAATAAATAAATGAATGCCCTTGAAACCCATCTGGCCCAAGCCCAGATCCGGGATCCCGGCCCATATCCGCGATTTTCAGCCCGCCAGACCCGATTCATCAGAAGAAAACTCAGCCCATGCTTAACTGGCTTTAAGTCGGCGCGGCCCCCCTCTCTCTCTCTCTCGCGCTCTGGTTCAAACGAGAGTTCCGCGGTCGCTCAATCTCCGATCATCACCATCACCTCCGGCGATTCGCCGTCGCGGTTCCTCCTCCGCATCGGCCGCGGCTCGGTTCACTCCTTCGGTTGCGATTCCGGTGCCGTTCAGTCGTGTTCCCGATCGTGCTCTGTTCTGACCGCGAAGGAATCCAGTCCTCCGATTCGTCGTCACTCGTCTCTGCGATCGATCAAAGGTAATAAATCTTAGGTTTCATGATAAATCTCCGAGGATGTCGAGTTCGAATGACATGATCTCAAGTTCATCCCTCGTTCTTTCGAGCCGAGTAGGAGTCCGGTGTTGTCAGGTTCGATTCGTTGCTATTATCGCTGAGTTCCGATGCTCTTGTCGATCTTATCATGCATGTTCGCTTTCGATCTCGTCTAATGCGTATGGTTCCTGTCACAGTCCGTAACCTGTAGTTCAGTGTGTGTACGGAGGCCTTGGGCGCACTGAATTTGCCTTTGGTTATTCCAGTTTCGGTTCAGTGTCATGTTTGGCCGAGAGGCAGTTTAACGCCTACAACCTGTTTGATAAAATTCCTGATTCAATCATAAATAGTTGGTTCCTGTGATATTCTTTTTGCAAGCGATTTACTTGGTTACAGAATTAAAAAGTAAATGTAGAGGAGTATACATCAGATTATTCAAGCTTTACCAGTACGACTAGCCTTTGAGTTTGTAAAAGTTACAAAAATAATTCCTCGGGCTGGGGGCAGCCGAAGAGCCAGGTCTTGTGCCCCCTGTGAATCTTCAAATATGTGTACTGATCGAACAGCTTGAGTTGTGGAGACTATGTGACTGTCCTGTTCTTTCAGTTTCTGATCATGTGCATGACTCTCTTGGCATCGTGCATGCTCTGCTTCTTTGAGTTGCGGAGATTGTACGGCTGTTCTTGGTATGCTTCTTTGTGTTCCTAGAGAAGTCTTATTTAAGAGGCGGGTCAAAAGGATCACAATTTACTTAAGATCTGTGAGTAGTCATACTCAGGTAATGCTTTTGTCTTTGCTATAAAACAAAACGCTCTTCGAGCCATGCCAGGCAAATATGTGCAAGTGCAATCACTGACTTAAGTATGCTATGCTCTCTGTTCGATTGGGCTTGCGCATCATTACTATCTGATTGTTCCATGGTGCTGGGCTGGAAGGTTTATATCAGTTCATTGTCTGTCGTTATGCCAGTAACATAACAAGTGGGGTTGTTTGAAACCCGCCTTCCTCCCACAGGTATTATGATAAGAATAATACATGCTTGTGGAAGAGTTAATCCTGCTAGAGTCTCGATTTTGTTAACTTTGTATCGTCTTTATATGTGGCATCAAGGAGCTTTGCACAATTAGTGTTCAAATATAACTCTCCAAATATAGGTGCGGATGTGACAGTTATCCAGCTTAAGGTAGCTTATTCTTTGGATTTTGTGCAATAGTACAGTCATGATGTTATGAAAGCATTAGAGGACCGAAAGTGCTTGATCAGCTCAGCATCATACAAAGTCAGTCATAGTATTGTTTAAGGCTCAATTCCCATTCACCAAGGTCTCTGCTTTCAGAAACTTGCACAATGTCTAGAGCCGCAAAGCGAGCAAGGGAAGATGAAGAGTACACGAGGGAAGCAAAGAAGAGAAAGATGTGAGTAGATTTGGACATCTTCAAGTAAATTGCAATAATTTCTGATTTTTACTTTCGATCTTCTGAAACATGCAGTGAAGCACGGTCCCTAAGTGATGCAGATGAAGAATACCTCGAAAAGATCACTGAGCAACTATGGAGGTGATTCGACTTCCTTTTCTTTTTTATATATTAAACTTTATTTCCTCTATATTGAACTCTTGTTTTGCAGAGAGATTATCGAGATGAAGGCCAACATGGATCGATTGCAGTTAAATCTTGAAACAAATGGGTAAATTTAATAACTTATACGTAATGTTGATTTTTGCTTCAGTACAATGTCCATATATGATGAATATGTTCTTTTTGTAGACAAAATTTGATAGATACACTAAAGAAAAGATCTGAAGAAGTAAGTGAGGAACCCTTTTGTATTAGTTGACCTCGATAACATGATTTTGTTTGATTTTACTTGATTTTACTTTATTTGATGATATTATGCAGTATGAAAACAGTTTGAAGGATGAGAGTAAGAAGCTTGACAAAATCTACGAGGAGATTAACAATTATAGAGCTTCCCGTCAAAAATCTAGAGGTAACTTTATGTGGTTTGTAGGGTAACTTGTTCCCAATTTAAAGTTCTTGGTCAGCGTCATAACTGATTTATTTTTGTTGGGCATGTACTTATCTTTCCATAGATGCTTTTGTTAAGTTCGAGGAGGAAAAGGAAAAGCTCTCAACATTGGTTAAAGAATCAAGAGAGAACGAAAAGGCTTTGATGGCAGCAATTGGGGAAAACATTAAAGAAGCCGATGAGTACATAAAAATAACGAAAAGGGTGATTTAATAGTTTGCGATATGTGGTGTTTTTGGAGTAGCTAAATGCATGTTCACATGTGGACATTCGTTTTTTGAAATGCAGGTCTATGACAATACGAAGGATATGGTGAAGATTTTCGTCTCGAGGAAGGATCAGGACTGAATTTTTCACAGGAGGATGGTTTGGAGACGGTCGCTATGCGACTGTGGAAATTTCTGCACAGAATGGTTGATTTCTCTGTATTTGACTTGCATTTTATGACCTGAGCGGCTGAACCTAAGTGGGTTCTGACTTCACGCGCACAGGATGACGATGGATGTGAAATAAAACTTTAGCTGTGTAATAAAACTTCAGCTGCTAGGCTGGCTACTATACCCTATATGCCTTGTGGGTTAGGAGGACAAATACTGTGATAGAGTATGGTCATACTCATCATCATGGTGTCACGAAGTTCGTTGTATGAGCATGATGGCATTTTGTTAGCCGGGATATTAAGGTTTGTTTGGAATTGGTGTGGAAAGTTCATGATGGAAGTGAATAAATCCCAAACTTACAGAGTGTCAAGGTTATTGGGTTGCCATAGAGACAAAGATGAAGTGAATTGCTTTCTATGTTGTAGATAAAAAGCGGCTTTTCTTTTTGGAGTAAATGTTGTACACATCAAAAGTCAAAGTGGTCTCCAAAACCCTGATTTCAGGGTATTTACTATTTACTACAGAGCAATTGCCACATGAAATTGTTAACTACATTAACATTACATCAGCAAACTAGAGTCCAGATAGTTAACTTACAGTAGTGTCTGAGCGGCAAGAAATTCTGAAGAATAAGTGATCAAGATCGCGTAGCTTCTTGCTGGTTGGATTAAATCTTAGAATGCAACAGATTGACCAATTTTGATAGGGTGTTTTGGGTGATTCTATTGCAAGTAGATGGTCAAGGGACATGAGCCTTGTCCACTTAAAAGCACAATCAAGGAAGCACTCATATCTACATTCTCCATGCCTGAGAGAATGAACAAGAAAAACTTGTTCTGTTCTCTATATAGAAAGAGTTATAAATGTAACAAGTAGATATTCTCGGTTGGAGAGTATTGGAGCACAGTGAAAAATGACTAGCTATGTGAAGGGTTTCGAGGTACTTGTTGGAGTCAAATACCACCTCTGCCGGTCAAACGGGAAATGTTTCCATGATACATCCCGAGCATCTCCTTCCTTGACACTTCCACTAATTTCGTCAAAATGAAAACATAGTCCTCGCCATACGAGAACTCTGAAGTGAAGAGCTAGACAAGAGATGCTATGCATCATCATATGGATAGCTTCTACATGTATTCACAGACCCAATTACTCATATTTAATAACAAGGTTTTGCGTTTCACTAGATGCAGCTGACAGTAGTGTATCAATCACAAATCCAACTAACGGAACCATTCAGGGACACCTTATCTTTGGTTCAGCATCGGTGCGTCAAACATGCCATAGCTTTCTCCAGAGAATTACCAAGAACATCAGGTGAGGTGTGCAGGTCTTGAAGCAATGGCACTCAATTAACTTCTCTTTCTTCAGTTAAAATGATGCTCTGGTCATTAACAATACCCAATAAGAGATAATGGGCACATAAAGAGAGGCACATCATCCTGAACTGAATCTCTTTCCCGGGTAGTGTACCAGAAATTATCAGTTTTGTGGATTCTCAGCATGATTTGGTCAGTGACAATACCCAAGCAGAGAAGCAGATAAGTTAAAGAGGCACAGATGCATCCTGAGACGAATGCCTAGCAAATTTATGAGTGAAATCACCTGAACAGGATTCAGAAGGATATTAATCTGTTGTCTGAGAGACTCCCTCCATGAGCTTCGCTTTTCTTATTCATAAAAACCAACAAAAGGCCTTGCATCTAGAGGCAAATCAACCCATTCATATCTTTGTTTCATTCGTAAAGAATCATCCTCCTGATTGATTGATCCACTTCTTTTTAATCCGGCGGTTGATTCGGTCTTGTTATCCCCAGCTCCACCATCATGTGAACCTCCCGTACTGAATTCTCCATTGCGAATCTCATCCATCCGGCAACGACCATTCACCGCCGGATTTATGATAATATTAGTGATTATTTTGAGGCCGGAAACCTTTCGGGAAAGTCATCTTTGGAAAAGTCAACATTTCCAAATTATAGACACCAAGCCAAAGTTTTCCAATTTCAAGACCACTGAATTGCTCGCGGTCGCCCACTGATGTCCATGAAATACTACTTGAAAAGGGCCCCATTCCAAACGGTGCATTTTATCCCTGCTCAGATGCCTTGACACACCTTGAAGCTAATCGGAGGATAAATTGCCAAATCGAGAAAGCCCTACGCTCTTCATGTGTCACCCACCTTCTCATTCAAGAAAAGAAGAAAAAAAGAAAACAAGAATCGCATCATGGAACAAGAAAGCAAGAAATTTTTAGCTGACGAATCATTCTTTAAGCAATATGCATGCTTATTTTCTGCTTTCCGTATATGATTCTGATGTTCTAAATTTAATCAAAGACTATCTCAAGGTTAGTCAGGATGGCCTACTGCAGGTTGGAAGCCAGGAGGTAGCTACAAAATCCCATCCAGTCCAGGTTAAGCCAAAAGGTGCCATCACGAGGTTCTTTTGTCTCATGAGTGTGATGCATTCAAACTGTTTTCAGCCCATGTGACACATCTATAAGGTGACTGCCTATTTCTTTGTTCCGCATTATTTTATGTTTAAATAATTTATATTGTCAATCTTGCTCTTTGGGTTAGGTAAGGAGATAGCTGTTCCGGAAGAAGACACGAAACGACATTCGAATGTTGTTTTCTTTGGCCTTGTTGGTAGGTTGATTTTGATTGCCTTTCTTACTCTTTGATTAAGTTTCTACCTCATTTGAGTTTGACATTTGAATGTTGTTCTCATTTGCTGGTTGTAATGCTGCAAGAATTTACACGTCTCCTGCTTCTGATTAGTTCTGTTTTTATGTGTCTTTCATCGATTATGTTGACTCATTAATGGTTGAAAATCTTGATGGCTGCAGATGCTGGGAAATCAACAACTGGAGGAAAGATACTGTTTCCAAGTGGTCAGGTTGATGATCGTACTATACAAAAGTATGAAAAAGAAGCCAAGAATAAAAGCAGGGAAAGTCGGCGAGACTTCTGTTGGATTGTAGAACCTGATAATCATCATTCATGCGGTTTCTTTATTGCTTTTACGCAATGAATATAATTGATTTGTGATTGTATCTCACCTAGCTCTTTCAATAGCTAGTGGTACATTTTACATGAGTAGATGGTTGACTCTCCTTAGCTGTGTGATATAGGGAATGTCAGTTTTCTTGTGGGAGCTGTTTTCTATAGCAAGGCTTTCTCGTACATTATACATTATTGCTTTCAACCATGCTTTATTGATCATGTGGTCTGAATCAGGTACATGGCCTATATTATGGATACCGATGAGGAGGAAAGAGTTAAGGTAACATGATAGCGGTCCGGGTTTCATAAAGTTGCTCTTATTTTTTTAAGAGTTATAGATGTGCTTAGGATTAAGGTTCAGCCAGGTTGGGTTTTGAATTTTGTAAATATACTGCTCCTGCAGGGTAAACTGTTGAGGTTGGAAGAGCACATTTTGAAATGGAGACCACTAGATTTACTATTCTTGATGCACCGGTAAGTCCTTGGTTTCCCATGCGATGGTTATTAATTTATTATCTGCAGTTTGTCTGCTAATTACACGTTAAAGAGTTAATCAAATGCTTGTGCCAAATTTCCTGTTCTTGTGAATAATATGCAGAGAAGGACCGATTGCGTTATTGTGTTAGGCTTGTGCTATGCATGCAGAGAATGTTTCTCATTCTCGTTGGCATTTACTTGTACATGGTCATTTTCCCTTCATTTCTCTCTCTCATACTGTTTTTTATCAAGCTTCTCTGTTCTTTAGGGCCAGAAAAGTTATGTCCCCCAACATGATCAGTGGGGCATGCCAGGCTGATATAGGCGTGCTGGTAAGATAGTGTTATCACTTTCACATTGTCATTTGTTTTGTTGATTATTTAAAAATCTCTCTCTCTCTCTCTCTCTCTCTCTCTCTCTCTCTCTCTCTCTCTCACAGAGGTAATTTCTGCTCGGAAGGGTGAATTCGAAACTGGTTATGAGAAAGGTGGTCAAACCCGTGAGCATGTTCAGCTTGCAAAAAACCTTGGGTGTTTCGAAGCTACTTGTAGTCGTAAATAAAATGGATGACCCCACTGTCAATTGGTATAAAGAAAGGTGATTCATGGACTCACAGAATTCCCCCCACAAAATAAAAAGAAAGGCTGATATGGTGATGCAGGCGCACGCTTGCTGATCCTGTATTTTAACAATATTGAGTTCTCTCATTGGCCTATTCTCCAGGTACGATGAAATTGAATCCAAGAGGATGCCTCTCTTGAAATCTTCGGGTTACAATGTTAAAAAAGGTAAGCGATTATCTCTCTCCTGCTTCTTGTTCACTTTAGATGCTTACGTGCTAGAAGATTTGGTGCTTAATCCGGAAGTAAGCTTGACCTGATTTCTTTTTTTCTCCTCTTTCCATGCTCATGCTCATGATCGCATGCATATGCCCCCACGCACCCGTTTAGCCCAGTTGATACTAGCACAATCTTATTTCTGTTAGTGTTATTTCCTTCAACTTTAATGTCTTCCTTCTCGTGGGAAGTCCTAATTGATCGGAGGCAGGAATTGAATTTTCTCTACGGACGTCGGGTTTCGAGTATCGTCTACCTGATCAAAGATGGTCAGACATTATGACCGGTTTCGTCAGATTCTGTTAGAAATTGCAAAATTCTTTGTCATTGTTATGTGGTTCTGATATGCAATGCTCAAGTACGGGTTTCTTCTTTGTGACAACTTTATTGTTTGCTTAAGTTTCACTGTGAAATTCTGAACCAAGTTTTTGTGTTGATTGTAATAAAATAAATAGATTCTGTTCACAACTTCATTGCTGATACAAATTTTATTGCAGACGTACAGTTCTTACCTATTTCTGGCCTGGTTGGAACGAACATGAAAACCAGAGCACTGGTCCGGGGTGCAGATTCGCCACCATCGGATGGAGCCTTAGGTCAGGATCGTCGCCGCGTACAGTGGCACCGTCGCCGTCATCAACGTGGTGTGGTAGAAGTCCGACCCCGAGATCATCGAAGTAATAACAATCGTTTATAGGAGGGAACTTACTATAAAAAGTCAAGAAAATAATAATTGCTCATGAAAGTAATTTTCTTACATATCGAAATTTGCTACAGTCAATTTTAAGATTGGGCGATTTTTGACGTCATCTTTCACGGTTGAAAGAATCGGTTTCTTCTTCCTTCGACCCCGCCTTCAAAATCCCACTTGCCTCTCCCACTCGGGACTCGCTCCTCTGTCATCCTCTGCCTCTCTGTCCCCCAGAAGAAGAAAAGGAAGAATCTTTCATGGCAGATCAGGCCAAGCAAGGAGTGCTGTTCGAGCTCGACAATGATGGGACCATGCAAGTGAAGATCGCCAATCTCGGTTGCACCATCTCTTCGCTTTGTGTTCCGGGCAAAGATGGTCCGTCGCTGATTGATCGTTTCTGTTCATGGCCCAAGTCGAACTTTTTTCTGCGCCTGAAATCGTTGCTGAGGGCTCCATTGTGTCTGTTTTTGTCGTTATTTCTAGGGAAATTGGCTGGTTGTGGTTATGGGTTTTGACTCTGTCGAACCGTGTCTGGTGAGAAAGTCCATTACCTTGTTGCTCACATAATCTAATTGATCATACTCTTGCGCTCATGGAGATGGTTCGGTAATGATGCATTTTCGTTGTCTTCTCTTCCATGACTCTTAATCTGCTGGAAATTTCGAACTTTTATAAGCAACTGGAATTGAGGAGGTCTCCAGTTGGGAGAGGAGACATTGCGAGGTCTAGGAAAGTGAAATGCGTAGGGATGAGCTTCTTCTCCTGCCACAGCAGACGTCTCCTCCTTCGTCATCTCCTCTGAACTTCTCTTCGCCATTTTCACTCTGCAACACCCAACACACACGCGCGCACTGTCGTGTCTATCTCTTGCTTTCTCCTCTGTTCTCCAGTTACCCACAGAGAGAGAGAGAGAGAGAGAGAGAGAGAGAGAGAGAGAGAGAGAGAGAGAGAGAGATCTTGGCTTCATGGTGATAGATATCGGCTGAACAAAATTTATTAATGGAGTCAAAATCTCATCTTTCGTTGCGTTACATGTGGTTTGGATCTCGGTCGGAGACAATGGTGAGATTTTGAAAACGCCCTGGGCCTCGTAGCATCGCATCTCCGCAACGGTCACATTTCTCCGTCGTCGTCGTGGGCACCCAACCGAAATTACCAAATTGACCCAACCTGCTCCATATGGGTAAGTCAAAGAGGTTGTGGGACCTGTCTAAAAAGGCCAATATCAGGAAAGTATCCCAGGTGGGACCCAGTATCTCTACGTATTTCACGTTTCTGTATATGCCGTTTTGAGTGATCTGGTGTAGTTGCGTGCTTTTGTTGTATGTTTCTTCAAAGCTTCGATTGAGCTGAATTAGTTTAATCAGGCAAAGGATTTGAAGTGCTTACGCCTGTGATAGTTTGAGAGAGAGAGAGAGAGAGAGATTGTTCCGCATCTTGGCAAGATGCGTCCGGAATTAATCAACTGGTCGGGGAAGTGGGCGAATTGTATATTTCAGTGAGAAAGATGGAAAAGTTGGATAATGGAACATTGTTTGGAGATTTCTCGTTATATGTTTCGGTCAGATTTGATCTCCTAAAGGCGCTGCTCCATAATATGCCTGTTGGTATTGATTTTGAATGGGAAGGGTCGGTTCTGTTCTTATGCAGCCTCTTACTATTCTTCTTTTAACACTTCGGAAGCTTGAAAAAATGGAAGACATGAGAGCCTTTTTGTCTCTTAGTGCCAAATAACGGCTTCTGGTTACATAGATGGCACCCTCAAATCCTCTATAGGGTTTTAAAAATCATGAATTAGTGTCTCACCTATCGTAGCTTAACTGTAATCATTGTATGTTGTGAGGTGGAATAGAAAAAAGTATATATCCAGTGCATTCCTTGGCAAGTGACCTGTTACAATCATTTCTTCTTGTGACTATCTGTTTAATTTAATCAGGATGGTCTCACAGGCAATGTCCTGTTCTCTCCATTTTTCTGTTCTTTTTCATTTCCTACTTAGTTCAATTTTTCTGTCAATCTCAGCATTTTTGGACTATTATGACATCCCCTACAAGGTTGTTGAAGTCAACCCACTTAGTAAGAAAGAGATAAAATGGTCCGATTACAAGAAGGTTCCTACACTGATGGTGGATGGCGAGCAGCTAGTTGACTCATCAGGTTCTGTGTTCCCCTTTTGTTGCTACAACCTATATTCCTGAATTTTTCTACCTTTAAATCCACATTGAGAAAACTATAAAATACTATGTTCATTGAGGATATTTTTCTATGTTATTCAGCCCATAAGGCCCTTGTTACTTTTGAGTGCCATTATGATCATAACTTATATGAAAAATTTGAATCCTGCAGATATCATTGACAAGCTGGGTCGAAAAAATTCTTCCTGAAAAGTCAGCTAAACTAGCCACAGAAGATGATGACGATGAAGAGAAAAAGTGGCGGAGGTAGTCTCCTTTTTCTATATTATGACACGGTGTTATCGTTGACGATACAGCTACACTCATGAAGTCCGCCACGTCAATTGTAGACCATAAAGAAATATTTACTTGTTAATCCGGATGTGGCAAATCTCACATCTTTTGCACGCCATCCAAATCGTGTGCATTAATTATTTACTTAGTATCAGCCAGATCAAATGGGGCTTCATCTGTGTGCCTTAAGCTATAGTGTAAGTCTAGAAACTTCCAATATCATGGGAAGAGTTGATGATTGTGCTTCAATTTGTTCTAACTACAGATGGGTTGACAATCACTTGGTGCATGTCTTATCACCAAACATCTACAGGAATACCTCCGAGGCTCTTGAGTCATTTGATTATATCACAAGCAATGGTAAGACATGCTTGTTATTTTGATGTGAAGTTACAACTGATATTTTGATTTACCTTCCTCGCCAAGATGATTGATAAGTTTGGCAGCAAAAGAAGATGATTGATAAGTTGTATGCTGCTCATCTGGTAGGATAGGAGGATATATTTTTTATTGCTTCACTAGGAGGGCAACGTATGCTTCTTCATCTCGTCTCTATAACAGCTCATGTGTACGACCCAGGAGAGTGTTTAGCAGCCAAGGCTACAGATAACAGTAATTGCTGGATAAGTAGAGCGAGTCATCAAACTGTTGTATGCAAGTTTCTATATGATCGACACCTAAGAGATTGTAGTTTATATGTGGAGATGAATGACGGAGCCAATTACATAAGTTTTCTTTGGCGTGATTTATCATTGGTATTTTTTATTATAGCTATTATAGATACAATTGAAATAGAATCCGTGGAGTAAAAGCCATGCCGATCTGGTCGCTGTCAAAGTATGCCATTTGTTTTGCTGTATGATATATAGCTTGGCTGTTTGATAATATATATCCTTTCAGTCGGTTTGATTGAAGGAATTCCATCTAGGGTTCTTGTCTATGATTAATATTGTTCAGGTGGAATTAACTCCTAATGATGTAGATAGATGGAAATGCATAATTTTGAAATGAGCTGTAAGCGTCATTGGATGATTGCAAAACTAATGCATCGGTACTTGCCTTTGGGATTGGCTTCATGGGTTTGTTTTACTCAAATATGGCCATGTACTTGGCTCAAATAAATAAAAAGTGGATTTGTTTATGTAATTCTCATCATAATGTGATCATAAATATGTAAAATGAAGCCATGAGCTTGGATTGGCTTATATTGCTGATTTATTTTGTCTTAGAAAGCTGGAACGTGATATACTGACATATTGCAGTGGAGTGATATATGAACGTGATATACTTTCCGCACAATCTAACCCTAAACGCACAAATGGGGGCCATCCTCAATATAAGCGTGTGCAGGGAGAGTGTTCAAGTGAAGCCACGGAAGTATAACAAGGGGTGTGAGGAGATTACACGCTATTTACTCTTCTGCCTGTTCTTCTTCTGCTCGCTCTCGTCATCACTGTCGTCGTCGTCGTCGCTGCTATCGTTATTGTCGTCGTCGGGACCATCGTCGTCATCCGAAGGCGGAGAAGGATCGAGACGAGCGGCGTCCACCGCCCACTGAATGAGCTTCTCCACTTCATCTTCCTCCTCCTTCGGTCGATCCTCCTCTCCGTGATATATTTTGTCTTAAATCACCTCGTTGATTAACTTTGAAAAATAGTTTGGTATGAAAATCATACCTAGTGAACTAGTATGTGCTGATAGTTGATTAGGGAGACACAGCTAGCTGATTAATTAATGCTCCTCTTTTTCCGAGCATCTGAGTCCGAACAATTCATGACTGTTGGTTTTCTTTTCAGGTCAATTTTATTGATTCACTGCCTGAGGCTTATCCGAAGGTGGAAGAATGGGTAGATAATGTGATTTTGGAAGAAGGAAACGCCACAATACTCACGCTCTTTGTCTGTCTCCTTACGGTCTTGTATCTCCGCGAGCGGCAGCGCAGGCATGCCGCTGCAGCCGTTGGCGTGGTTGGAGGGCAACAGCAACCGATCGAACCTGTGGTGCCTGGACTCAATTAACTGCCCGTCGTCGTCGCGTCCATTTCCTGTTTCCATGAGGTTCACATTAACTCTCGAGGGGGCAACATGTGGGGGTTTTTCATGATGTTTGTATAGCTGATTGTTTTCCTTTTTGTTCATTTAATGGCAGCAATTTTTGTTTAATGAACACTGTAACATAGAGAGAGAGAGAGAGTAGGTAGGGAGAGGAAACTTACGAAATAAGAGTTGTCTTGTTCTTCTTCATGATTGACACAAATGTATTTATAGAGTATTCTCACAGTGCCAATTTCAGCAGTACAAGATAGAAAATGTCTTCCAGTTTCTGCCATTTTTCAGGGTTATAATGAGAATACGTGCTTTTTTGTTGACCCTTGTACTTTGAAACTTAAAAGTGCTGGCGATTTCAGGTTATGAAATCGCTTCAACTTTAAACTAAAAATGTATTTATCTTTCCAAAAAGATGAATTTTCTCAATCTCGAGTCTTTTTTTGTCCTCCGACTCTCGGGAGAGCCCTCGCTTTTGTGTTGTCGTAATGCACGTGTAGAATTTCTCATCTTGCAATGACGGCAACCCGATATTGAATGACTTTAATACCAGTGTCGCAGGATTTTTAATCAACCTGTTGGTAAAAGCACAAGCACAAAATGCTTGAGATGCATCGAGAAATCGCCTGGTTATTA